AAAAGCAGAAAAAGAGAGGGAGAGAGGAGAAATTATGCAATCTGCAACGTCCTCTGAACTTGAGTCTTCCTGTTGATGGCAGAGGGTGGGTGGGTGGGTTACGGTGGGAAGCCGATGCCACCGATTGCCCAACCAAGGGGTGCAATTATGATCCATCTCAGCAAAGATATTTATTAGCCTTTGAAGCTTTTAAAGCACTTGGTCTCCGTGGAGGGGGTGAACGGATTCTGTCGACACGGCGGCCGTTTTAATTAGGGTTGGCATAGGATTCATGACCTGCTTTGGTGGCAATGCTGGAGTTTGTGGAAATTAAAATACACCCTCATCCCACGATCTTAGAACTAATCGGAAACCTAAACCGGGTTTTCGTTTTGACAGCCATGCGTCTTTTAAACTGGGAATTGTGCCATATTTGTAGAAAGGAACGAGGAAGGAAGGGGTTCAAGGATGGTCCTGCAACAGCAGCTGAATCAGAAAAAGGACAGAGAATATTCTTTTTTTGAGAAAAAGGCCTTTTTGGGGGAGAAACTATGCTCTATCTCTACGGTGGCAAGGTTTCACAACCGTGCATTGTTAGGATGTCTGGACTTCGACTCCCAGCTTGCAGGCTGACTCGGGAAATCTGGGAGTTGAATTCCAGGCATTTTAACCAGGGGTGGGATTCCAAACTGCACGCTATCAGTTCTGCGCGCTTTGCACTCAAAGATCGCTTCGCACGCACAGAACTCAAAGATCGTCCTCGGTGAGGTGAGCTGTTTTTTAGCTCAGCTGAGGCACTGAGGTACAAATCAATGGAATATAGGACGGGAAAGGGCAGGGGTGGGTGGGCGGGGCCAGTCAGAGGTGGTATTTGCCGGTTCTCTGAACTGGTCCAAATTTCCACTACCGGTACGCCAGAACCGGTCTGAACCGGATGAATACCACCTCTGGTTTTAACGTTACCAATATTGAGAAATACTGAGTTATAGAAAGGAATAACAGGGGTGTGTGTCTTCATTTCCCATCGCTCGCGGTAGCTGTGGGATAGAAAAGCAAATGGGATCCTTTTTCCTGAATGGTGATGCAACTTCTTGAAAAAGCAGTATAAATGAGCAAGTTAAAATATTGTGGGATTTTCTTTTTTAACACAAAGTGATGGTAGAAAAAGGATTAGCAAAGTCAGGGGGAGGAGTTAAAAAAGGGATCAGCCTAGAATCATTACATAGTCACAAAGGAAAGAAGTCCCTTCACACTGATAAAGTCTTGGCATGTAACACACCAGATTTAACTGTGGTTGAAAAGAAGAAAATGTGGACAATTGATTTGGAAGTGCCAGGAGATCGTAGAATAGAAGACAAAGAATTGAAGAAGATAACGACCTATCAAGATCTGAAAATCCAAACTGAAAGATTATGGCATAAATCAGCCGGGGGGGTCCCAGAGGTGAGCAGCATATTGGGTGCCGTACTTAAAAAATCCTGGACAGCAGCACAGCATTTAGGAAAATCTGCACATCCACAAAATTTCCATCTGCCAATTGCCAAAAAAACCCACACTGTTGGATCTGCACAAATATACTGATACATTAAAGGTAAGATCTCAAATTACAACCACAGTTGATCCCCAAATTTCCATTGCTAAGACAGTTGTTAAGTGCGTACTGCCCCATTTTAGGACCTTCCTTGCCACGGTTGTTAAGTGAATCACTGCAGTTAGTAACACAGTTGTTAAGTGACTCTGACTTCTCCATTAATTTTGCTTCTCAGAGGTTGCAAAAGGGGATCACATGACCTCCCAGGACACTGCAACCACGCCAGTTGCCAAAACGCCCGAATTTTGATCATGCGACCACGGGGATGCTGCAACAGTCGTAAGTGTAAATGCCTATAACTTCAAACAGTCACTAAACAAATGATTGTAAGTTGAGGACTTACATGTACAGCACCCTAAGTTCTTGGGAAGAATTTGAAAGGCAACACCAGTTAAAGAAATGGCCGCTGTGACTTCCTATTGTTGTATATATTATAATAATAGCACTTGAGACTGTTCCCTGCAGCTTAAAGAACTGTGTCTTTTAAAATTCTAGTGAATTAATCTTACAAGTTCCAATAGGAACACAGTGGAGGGCAACGAGGAGAGAGGCCACTTTGCTAATCTTTGAGGTTTCTGTACAACTCAGCCGGTGGCAAAGAAAGCTTTCCCTCGTCTTTACACAGCGCGTCACCACTCTACTTGGGGCTGCCCTTGAAAAGTATCCAAAAGCTTCCATTGGTTCGAAATGTGGCAGCCTGTATGGCAGAGGGGTGTCAAACTGGGCCGGATCCAGCCCGCAAGGTGCTTAGATCTGGTCCGCGGGGCCACCCTGGAAAAAGCGAAGGACCGGCCCGCGGTGCCTCTGCCAGCAAAAACGAATCTTGGGGGGGGGCTACATGTGGCCCTCCTGGGCTCAGTTTTCGGCTGTGATGGTCTCCTGCAGCCCTCTGTCAGTGAAAACAGAGCTCGGGGGTGCGTGCGGCCTCCCTGAGCTCCGTTTTTGCTGGCAGAGGGCTGCAGGAAGCCGTCACAGCTGAAAATGGAGCCCATGTAGACTGAAAATGGAGCCTCGATGAGTTGGCCACGCCCACCCTGCCCATGTCCCTCTGCCCCCCCCCGCCCCCCGAGGTCAACATAACACCAGCCCTCAATGAAATCGAGTTGTGACATTCTTGCTGTATGGCTTTGCACAGGCATGGAGGTACATGTGTCACCTCTCCTGTGGGAGCTGCATTAGCTGCCAATTTGCTTCCAGGTCCAATTTAAGGTGCTGGTTGTTACCTTCAAAGCCCTACATGGCTTGGGACCAGGTTATCTGAAGGAGCTTCTTTTCCTGGTCACATCAACCTAACCCACCAGAGCAGAGAGGCAGGGAATGCTATGGGTCTCCCAGCATCTAGTACAGGGGTCTTCGAACTTGACAGCTTTAAGACTTGTGGACTTCAACTCCCAGAATTCCTCCTCCAGTCATGTTAGCTCAGGAATTCTTGCCAAGTTTGAAGACCCTTGATCTAGTAGGACCAAGAAGAAGGGTCTTCTCTGTGGTGGCTCCCTCCCTGTGGAACATCATCCCTGTGGAGATAAAATTGACCCTCCCACTTTGACTCCCTTTCACAAGGCCCTAAAAACCTGGTGTTTTTTTTTCAACAGGCCTGAGACCTCCAAGTAGGATGGAGCCCATCAAGTGGCTTATTTGATTGCTTTTGTTAGAGGAGTGGGAGCTATTGGTTTTTTTTATTGTTTTTATATTGGTTTTTGCTTTTGGGAAGCTGCCCAGAGTCACCGAGAATGAGTTGGGTAGCCATATAAATTTCCTGAAATAAATAATGTATGTGGATTATATTCCTTCCCACTGTCACTGGGGAGAATGAGAGTGTAGCAGCACTCAAGTTTGGGAGAATCATCCTGGACAGCAGATCAGGAAAAAGCCATGGATCTTGTAGATCCAAAGAACCTGCCTGGGGGTTACATCCAGTGGTGGGATTCGGCCGGTTCAGGCAAATCGGTTGTTCAATTACTCACCCACCTACCCTGCTGTCGGAGTGGATCCTGGGTGCTGTGCAGCAAAGGAAAAATGAGCAATGGAATGGCTGGCACGAGGGAAGGAGAAGGCCACGTTCCCTGTTTCTTCTCCCTGCTCCTCCTCCTTCCCTTCTGCCGGCCGTTTCTCCATTGCAGTGCAGTGCCCAGATCCCGGGGGTGGGTGGGGAATTTAACAACCAGTTGGACTAGGTCAGGTTGGCCATCACGGGAGGCTCGTCCTGCATGTGGGGCAGAGCTGGAGGATGGGCCACACCTCCCACGACAGCCAATCTGACCCTGGGCGAACCGCTTGTTAAATTATTTGAATCCCACCCCTGGTTACATCCATAGACGTCTTCTAATAATTCACCGTGGTGGTTCTGTTAGGAAAACAGGACCAATTTCACCACAGGAAATATCTGCGAGTCATATTTTTATAGGTGACAGATGTTGAAATCCAAGGGTTACCCCTTCTCTTTTGTACACAGCGGAGTGACCCTTCAAACACCGCCATTTATCATCTGCAGTTTTTTATGTCCTTTCATTAAAAATAATTTCACTGTGTTAACAATCTTCTGCCTGACTGATCAGTGACATCCTTTAAAATCAATAAATACATCCAGTGATTCTATGTGCTATTTCCATTTCACCCCCTCCCTTCTCAAGCCTACTCGTTCTCGATTTTTATTTAGTTTTTGGTGGCTGTTTATACATTCAAACGTAGTGGTAAACGTGGGTTTTCTTAGGGACTGTAAGTTTGATTTATGACCAGAAAAAGACAGTACATACGTAAAATGCAAAGGCACATTTACACATACACGGTTGCATATGTTGCATATCTCTGTTCCTTAGTATTTAATAAAAATCTGCAAATTTACATCAACTTTTCTTATTCAAAGTCAAAATTATTTTATTGCATTCTTTTTAGAAAATCATTGAGGCCACCTGGAGTTTTGTCCTCAGGGTCAACCTGAGAAGTGCAAATGGGTGTAGAGCTTTTTTGGAACTGCTGAAAGGACTGTGTTGTGTAGCTGTGCTTTCTGCAGGATGTTTTCTGCCCTGTGAAGTAACAACGAAGGGACATAGGGCAGAAAACATCCTGCAGAAAGCACAGCTACACAATACAGTCCTTTCAGTAGGTCCAAGAGGGCTCCACACCCATTTGCACTACTCAGGTTGACTGAGAGGACGCAGACAAGCCTCCAAGCGGCCTCAAGGACTCTCTAAAAAGGATGCAAACGACCAGCTGTCCGCAAGAAGTATAAATTCTTCCGTTCCTCACCATCTAGTCACAGCTGAGGAAGCTTCTTGGATGAGAAGCAAAAACGTCTTCAGAGAAAAACAAGGAAGTCCAATTGCCTCTTGAAAAAGCAGCTTTGGGACTTTTTTCAGTGCCATTTAACGGTTACTAAACAACCTATTGTAAGCCAAGGACTACCTGACATAAGCAACCCACCGAAACTTACCAAGTCGCTCTGCCAGTCCCATATAGACGGGATCCACACGCCTCATGGTTTTTACTAAGTCTTTCTTTCGGAATTTGATTTCCACTGTCCCTTCAGGTTCCAAAACGCCACCTCTGAAAAAAGATGTTTTAACAGAATTATCATACAAAACATTGAGGGGGTCAACACAAAATAAAGACAAAATAAGCAGCCTTTTAGAAATTCTGACTTCTTTAAAAGCTCTCTTAGCTGTTAATGGAAGAAACAGAGGCTGAAAGAATGGGTTAAAAACATGTCAGCACAGAACAAGCTGGGTCAGTTAGAAAGGAGGCTGGGAAAAAAAAGAGAAAATAAGGCTAAAAAACCTAAAACCTTGAAGGAAACCAGGATAAGGAAGGGAACTAAGTTGAAATTTATACTTTATATTTATTTGAATTAGCCAGACAACTTTCACTGCAAAATTGAAGACAGGGAAAAACCCCTAATAAACAGAAGAAATGTGTTTAAGCTACTGGAATCTTCATAAAATGAAGCAAGGTAAGAACCTAAAGTGAGATAAAAGCATATTTTAATAATCAAAGTACAGATATAAATGCTATGTCCTTCTAGTAAACCCATAGATAATAGTAGTTGTTTTTTCACTGATCTAGCCTTACATTGTACAAGGGAACAGATATGGGATCATTCATTGTATTCATATACTACATACAGGTAATCCTCAATTTATGACCACAATTGAGGCCAACATTTATGTTACTAAGCAAGATAGTTATCAAGAGAGTTTTGCCTCATTTTGCGACCTTTCCTGTCACAATTGTTAAGTGAATCCATGCAGTTGTTTAAGTTAGTAACACTCCTCTCTATGCTGTTCCTTGAAACTACAAGCAATTGGCTGAAATTTGAGAACAGCTGGGAGATTATGTACCTTTTTTTTACCTCTTTCTATACCCTTGAAAAAATAACTAGCAGATTTCAGTTTCTTTAGGAGATAATAAAGATGATATTGTTGCTTTTTTATAGTACATTAGGCAAGTTGCTTGACTGTCCCCATATGTGTGTTCTATTGATAATGATTATGTTGTTTTGGGTTAGTTTTATGAGATGTATTAATGGCTATGGAGCATAATGTTATGAGTAGTTAGTTATAATTTAGATCTTAAATGTTGTTTTATGATTCGTACCGAGACTTAAGCATTTTAAATATGATAAGATTAGCTCTGATTTTATTTTTATTTTTTTGCAACAATAAAGTATTGGAAATAAATTACATAAAGGGGTGTAGGGCAGAGAGGGTATTCAGCAGGTTCTGACCAGTTCTGGAGAACCAGTAGAAATTTTGAGTAGTTCAGAGAACCAGCAAATCCCACCTCTGACTGGCCCCGCCCCCATCTCTTCTCTGCCTCCCGAGTCCCAGCTGATTGGCTGGGTCTTCTTTGGTTGCCCTGCACAGGAGAACGGAGCCGGAAAGCAGGTTAGTGGAATGAGGAGGAAATGGGATTTTGCAATAACCTTCCCCTGGAGCGGGATGGGAATGGAGATTTTACAGTATTCTTCCCCTGCCACACCCACCAAGACATGCCCACCAAGCCACACCACGTCCACTAAGCCAGTGATCCCCAACCTTTTTTATGCCGTGGCCCGGTACCAGCATCAGCTGGGCGCCATCTTTTTTTGATGAAAAAGTGCTTCCGGTGAGCTTTCTACCCGGAAAAGCTCACCGGAAGCACTTTTTCATCAAAAAAAGATGGCGGCGCCCAGCAAGCCAGCGGCCCGGTAGGACTTGTTCCGCGGACCGGTACCGGTCCGTGGACCAGTGGTTGGGGACCCCTGCACTAAGCCATGCCCACAGAAACGGCAGTAAAGAAATGTTGAATCCAACCACTGGCATAGGACTGTCTGCCTCTCTTTCTCTCTGTGTATCTGTTCGTTAGCAAGAATTCCATCCGAAAACTGAAGGGAATGCATCTAAAATTGGCATGGAGGAAGAAACTGAAAAAATAAAAACGGGATTTGAAAACGGACTGGATGATGCCAGATTGGGGGAAAACCGTTTCTGAAAATTCCCTCAATACAGATAGTCCTTGTCCTACAATCGTTCGCTTACCAATCATTCTAAGTTGCACTGGCACTGAAACAAGCGATGTAAGACTGTGCTTGGTAACCTAAATATATTTACAATAGTTGCAGCATCCTGCAGCATCCTGGGGCCATGTGATCACCATTTGCAACTCTTCTAGCAAGCTTCTGAAAAGCAAAGTCAATGGAGGGAGCCACATTTGCTTATCGACCCCATGATTCACTTCACGCCTGTAGCGATCCGCCTTAACGTCGTGGTGAATAAGGTTGTAAAATGGCGACACAATTCACTGAACAACCATCTTGCTTACCCATGGGAATTCTGGTCCCATTTGTGTAAATCTGGGTGTCACTATTGAAAAACACTTAAGCTTCCTGTAATCATTATTGCTCTTCAACTTGACAATGTACTGGGCGGAAAGACGGGTGAGATGGGATGTGGAGGCTACAATCTTCAACCGTGAGAGCCAAGGACACTTCTGCAGGGGTCTGCCAAGATGTGGACTGTTGTCAAAACAAAAGGCTGATTCCCAATTGGATCATGTGACCTGCAGTCACAGAGCTGAGGTGGCGCAGTGGTCAGAGTGCAGTGCTGCAGGCTACTTCTGCTGACTGCTGGCAGCCTGCAATTTGCCAGTGTGAATCTCACCAGGCTCAAGGTTGACTCAGCCTTCCGTCCTTCCGAGGTCAGTAAAATGAGGAACCAGATTGTTGGGGGCAAATAGGATGATTCAATAAACTGCTTAGAGAGGGCTGTAAAGCACTGTGAAGCAGTATATAAGTCTAAGTGCTATTGCTATTGTCATCTCAAAGCTATGCTAAACCACATCAGAAGAATAGACTCACCTGCTGTCCCGGTCAGCGTACAATTCCATATGTCGAGGATTAATGGTGGGGTCGATCACCACCCAGGACCCTCCTCGGAGTTCTGCTTGGGGTGGGATATAAACAAGGACCGGTTGCTTATATTCTCGCAGACCGTCTACAATGTAGGCCCCAAATTTCAGCACCTGGTCATACATATCTGGAGAGGAGAAGGACATAGAAGTAAGAAGGGAGTCTTGTCATGCCATGTTGGAATTTGATTCCGAGGGAGAGGTCGAGCAGCTGACAGGGAGTGGGAGTGTGGCTCTGGAAGAAACTGGGGAAGGACACAGTCCAGCTGGGCCTTCAGAGGAAGACCCGGGGCCACCCCCTCTTCATCCTAGGGCACGCAGGGAGGAACGGAGAAGGGAGTAACGTGAATTACGTGGGTTATGGGGGAGAAAAGGCCCTGATTCCCTTCATTAGCTGCAGCTGGGAAAACAGGATTTAAAAAGGGGCTTCACCTACTTTTGTGAATTTGTTGCTTTTGTGCCATACCCCGGGTCATCACACTTCTGATATTTTCTCCTTAATAAATGCCCCTTCCCTCGCCTCCACTTTGACTTGTGAGATTCACTGGTTCAAGCATTTGGCCCCAATCACTTTTTAAGAGAAGACTGAGACAACCTCATGGAAGGAAGAAATCCTTCCAACAGTCTTTACACACAGACGGCTAAATTGAACTTGTCGTCTGTCGGCCGCTGGACCCTCCAGCAGCCAAATCAGAGGAGGAGGAGGAGGAAGCGTGGGAGTCAAGGTCGGCATCAGGGCAACCTAAGATTGCCGAGGGGGGAAGAGGGAATGGAGCTGGCAGAGAGAGAGAGAGAGACAAAAGTGGAGACTGGGCCGTCTGTCAGCCCTCAAACGGAGAGTCAACAGCCCCCAGGTCTGGAGGTGGCTGATGAGGAAGAGGAGGAACAGCTGGGTCCAGTGCCTGACACGTGGATGAGCAGAAGGCAGAGGAGAGGAGAGCAGTGGAAATCTATGGGCCGGTCCTTGGGACGGAAGAACCACCGTTGCTAGTGAAGCCCCACGCTAGCTCTGGGGATAAAAGGCAGGGGGCAGAGATGAATAGATGTGGCAGACAACTGTTCATCTTTCAGACGGATGGACTACGAGGGAAACTTTTTGCCGGGGCTGCCAGCATACCTAATAAAGAAATCTTTTGAGTTCATGCCAGAGGGTTTGTCGTGTTTGGGGAGTTGGGTTAGAACACAAACTTGAAAACTGTCTTGGAGCCACAGGATAGAAATGTTCTCCTTCAAGGCTAAATTTGAATATGCAAGACCTGGTATTCAGAGATATACACGTAGTCCTCGACTTACGGCCACTAGTGAGCCCAGAGGTTCTGTTGCTAAACAAGACAGTTAAGTGAGTTTTGCCCCATTTTATGACTTTTCTTGCCACAGTTGTTAAGTGAATCACTGCAGTTAGTTAAGTTAGTAACACAGTTGTTAAGCGGATCCGGCTTCCCCATTGACTTTTCTTGTGAGAAGGTCACAAAAGGGGATCACATAACCTGGGGACACTGCAACGGTCATAAGTACATGCCAGTTCCCAAGCATTTGAATTTTGGTTACCTAACCATAAGGATGCTGTGAAAAATGATCATATCACTTTTTGCAACTTTGAATAGTCACTAAACAAATGGCTGTAAGTCGAGGATTACTTGTAGTGTTCCTGAAGATGGAGGTCCAATTCTCAGGGCTCCATGCTTGAGCAGGGCGTTTGACTAGAAGACCTCCAAGGTCCCTTCCAACTCTCTTAATTTGTTATTTTTTTTCCACGCGGGAACGAAAAAAGGTCCGTAATCTTCACACATAGACATTTAAATGTTTTTTTTCCCATGGTTGTTAAGTGAATCACATGGTCTTTAAACTGGCTTCCCCCATTGACTTCAGATAACAGATAATCAGAGTTGGAAGGGACCTTGTATGTCATCTAGTCCAACCCTCCCGCCCAAGAGGGAGACCCTATACCATTTCTCACAAATGGCAGTCCAATCTCTTCTTGAAAGTCTCAAGTGATGGCGCTCCCACAACTTCTGAGGGCAAGCCATTCCATTGGTTGATTGTTCTGTCAGAAAGTTTCTCCTTATTTCCAGGTTAAATCTCTTCTTGATCAGTTTCCATCTATTATTTCTTTTCTGGCCTTCGGGTGCTTTAGAAAATAGCTTGACCCCTTCCTCTCTGTAGCAGCCCCTCAAATATTGGAAGATGCTCTCCTGTCTCCCCTGGTCCTTCTCTTCCCTAGAGTAGCCATGCCCAGTTCCTGCAACCGTTCTTCATATGTTTTAGTCTCCAGTCCCCTAATCCTCTTGGTTGCTCTTCTCTGTACTTTTTCTAGAGTCTCAACGTCTTTTTTTATAATGTGGTGATAAAAACTGGATGCAGTACTCTAGGTGTGGTCTTACTAAGGCTTTATAGAGTGGTATTTGTACCTCACTTGATCTTGATTGTATCCCTCTGTTAATGCAACTTATGATTACATTGGCTTTTTGGGCTGCTGCTTGTTGGAAGCCCCCCAATAAGTCATAACTGATGATCATGTGGTCATATGATGCTGCAACCATCATAAATACATGCCAGTGGCCCAGTGCCTGAATTTTGATAATGTGACTATAGGGATGCTGTAATGTAATTGATGTAACTAAAGTAATAAATTCGAGGAATGGTTGAAAGGTATTTTTCAGTGTCTTTGTAACTTTGAATGGCCACTAAACAAACAGTTGTAAATTGAGGATTACCTGTGCTTAATAACCCCCCAAAACTTTGCTTTGATCTAGCGTGATCTTTAATCTGTTCCCAGAAAAGAAGAATATAGTAGAGAAAAAACAGGCATAATTTTGGTTTAATGTCATGTCTGGATGAAAGAAACAATCCTTTTGTTTCCTATAGCAAATGACAAATTTATTGCTAATTAAACAATCATTTTATTATGTAGCGCTGGCAATAAACCACTTGAAACTCCTTTCAGCTAATTCCAGTGTTAAGGAAATAATTGCTCAATTCAAATTATTTTAACCAAATTAATTCTTTAGTAGACTTTTTTTTAAAGTCGCGCTACATAATAAAATAATGGTGTAATTAGTGTGGCATTTTTCACTCCTGCTACGAGCATATATTTTATGTGGAAATAGCAGCCTGAGCTAAAGAGGGCTCATCTGCACTGAGGTGGAGATTTTAAATAAAAAAATAAAAATAAAGAAGAAGGGGAAGTTTTCTGGCAAAGAACTAAATAGGCCGTAGCAATTTTATTCAATTGAAGGCACCAACTGTCTATTGAACTGTAACAGCTAATAGTCATTGATACCGGCACTCAACTTTCTGAGGGGGGGGAAACGATTTTAATCTTGAATGGTTTAAAATTGTATGTATATCTGCTCAGGAAAATGTCGCGGGGAAATCTCTAAAGGGTGTGGATTAGTGGAGCGGTCAAGGCATTTCATTAATGGAGGTAAAGCTGAATTTTTTTTGGCCTGTTTCCCCCCCCCCCCAATGCATGGATAGTTTATTACTTTGTTTGTTATTTGTTTAATGGCCCCTGTTTGATTAGTACAGATAGTCCTCGACTTACACCGGACCTCAACAGGGGCACTTACAACTCAGTTCTGGCTAACCCACACCCGCACTCCATGGTCATGCGACTGCCTGGAGTGGAGGCTAAAACACATATAAAGAACGGTTGCTGGAATTGGGTATGTCTAGTTTGATGAAAAGAAGGACTAGGGGTGACGTGATAGCAGTGTTCCAATATCTCAGGGGCTGCCACAAAGAAGAGGGAGTCAAGCTATTCTCCAAAGCACCTGAGGGCAGGACAAGAAGCAATGGGTGGAAACTAATCAGGGAGAGAAGCAACCTTAGAACTAAGGATAAATTTCCTGACAGACAGAACAATTAATCAGTGGAAGAATTTGCCTTCATTAAGTTGTGAATTCTCCAACACTGAAAGTTTTTTTAAGAAGAGATTGGACAACTATTTGTCTGAAATGGTAAAGGGCTTCCTGCCTGAGCAGGGGGTTGGACTAGAAGACCTCCTATGTGCCTTCCAACTCTGTTATTCTATGCTATGCAATGCTATGCATATGAAGAACGGTTACAGGAACTGGGCTTGGCTAGTCTAGTGAAGAGAAGGTCCTGAGGAGACATGAGAGCGGTCTTCAAATATTTGGGGGGCTGCCACAGAGGGGAGGGGTCAAGCTATTTTCCAAAGCACCCGAAGGCCAGACAAGGAATAATGGGTGGAAACTGAACAAGGAGAGATTCAACCTGGAAATAAGGGGAACATTTCTGACAGTGAGAACAATCAAACAATGGAACAGAAGTTGCCCTCGTAAGTTGTGGGAATGCCATCACTTGAGACCTTCAAGAAGAGATTGGACTCCCATTTGTCAGAAATAGTGTAGGGTCTTCCGTTTGGGCGGAGGGTTGGACTAGATGACCTATAAGGTCCCTTCCAACTCTGATTATCTGTTATCTGTTATGCTATGCTATGCTATCCTCAATAAAGATTCTATTCTATTCTATTCTATTCTATTCTATTCTATTCTATTCTAATTTAATTCTATTCTATTCTATTCTATTCTAATCCTATTCTAATCCTATTCTATTCTATTCTATTCTATTCAGTATTCGATATTATATTCCATTCCAGAACTCAGCAACTGGCCCCCATTTATAGCTCAATGACAGGGGTTGCTGCAAAAAAAGGTCATAAAATTGAGTTGGTCGGGAGTGATCCACTTTACGACCATCACAATTCATGCTCGTATTGTACAGGCTCCATTACGGTTCTAAGTCAAAGATTACTTGTAAGCCAGGCTTCCTACTGATTTAGTAGCTTAAGCCTTTTTGATATGTTTTTTTTTAAAAATAGGTTTATCCCTTGTCCACAGTCTACTGGCTGGGGAATTCTGGGAGTTGAAGTCCATACCTCTTAAAGTGTTCAATGTTGACCAAACTTGAGTTATATCGCTGTTTAAAGGCAGTCTTCAATGTACGATAAAAGTTGAGGCCAGAATTACAGTGGTAAGTTATGCTGATTATTAAGTAGATCATCATGTGGTGGAGCCTGATTTCATGACCTTTTTTATGGTGGTTGTTAAGTGAGACCATTGTTCACAATAGGCATTTTTGGCCAGAAACCAGAAGTAAATGTCAG